CCAAATACATCTTAGCGTGATTGTCTTACCAAATACATCTTAGCGTACCTGTCTTACCAAATACATCTTAGCTTGATTGTCTTACCAAGTACATCTTAGCATACCTGTCTTACCAAATACATCTTAGCATGATTGTCTTACCAAATACATCTTAGCGTGATTGTCTTACCAAATACATCTTAGAGTGATTGTCTTACCAAATACATCTTAGCCTACCTGTCTTACCAAATACATCTTAGCGTGATTGTCTTACCAAGTACATCTTAGCATACCTGTCTTACCAAATACATCTTAGCCTACCTGTCATACCAAATACATCTTAGCCTACCTGTCTTACCAAATACATTTTAGTGTGATTGTCTTACCAAATACATCTTAGCCTACCTGTCATACCAAATACATTTTAGTGTGATTGTCTTACCAAATATATCTTAGCCTACCTGTCATACCAAATACATCCTAATTTGCTCTTCTCAGCAGTAATTAGTTACAAGTTTTGTATGTTATTTGTGTTTTATTAGTTTTATGGCTTTTGGGTTTATGATAACAGTTGTGCTTTCAAAAAATAAACCATAAAAGTTATTATTATTATAGTAGTTTTGAAAGCACATTTTAATCTAATTTAAGAATACCACTGACCAAAAAACTGAAATGGAAGGCTTAAAAGCTCGAATGGAAGAAGAAAATAAAAAAATTGCAAGACGTAAAATTGACATCGATAAAGAATTGGAAGAAATTGAACCACTTATTAAAGAAGGTTAGTATATTTTGCTGTTTCACTTTGTTCCTCTATATTTTTTTTTGTGTACATACATTTTGAATATACTCTGTTAGTACGTTTGTTTATTGTTTCTCTGCACACATTGTAAGTGTTCTCTGTCAGTGTGTTTGTTTTATGTTTCTCTGTACACACATTGTATGTGTTCTCTGTAAGTATGTTTGTTTATTATTCCTTAACTAGCTGGAGTATCTGTCTGTTAGACAGGTGAAATAAAAACACATTTGTAAAAAAAGTATAGGAAATTGTGCTTCTGTTTTTTTTTTAACATGATAAACATTATAAAAATACATAAAGGTACCAGTACTGAAAAGAAAGAATTCTAACAATAGTGGTTACATAATTCATTCTAATGCTATGGGATATACAACATTATTTCCACCAAATGGAAAAATAACAATGATTTGGCAGATCCTACTCATTCTGTATGATTGTGTCAAGTTTGGTGCAGATTGGTCAAGAAATGAGGAAAAGTATTTAGCAATAACATAGTTTTATTCTGCAGCTGTCAGATGTGAAATTAGATGGTGAGGAGGTCCAACCCCTTCCCCCATAACTTTCCTCATGTCATCCTGTATCAGTGTGTCAAGTTTGGTGCAGATTGGTCAAGAAATGAGGAAAAGTATTTAGCAATAACATAGTTTTATTCTGCAGCTGTCAGATGTGAAATTAGTTGGTGAGGATGTCCAACCCCTTCCCCCATAACTTTCCTCATGTCATCCTGTATCAGTGTGTCAAGTTTGGTGCTGATTGATCTAGAAATGTGGAAATGTACAATGAACATTTATCTATATAGATCTGGTTCCTAATAGGCTTAACATAACGTCATATGACAAATATGTTTAATTATATTGTACTTTGCCAGCTTCTAAAAGCATTCAACCATAACAATTACTGTTGTATCAAATAGCCTATATATATATATATATATATAGTCG